AATAACACATGGATCAAAGCAGAAAGCACTAGGGAAATTTAAAAATGTTTGAAACAGTATGATTATGAAAAGTCAACATATCAAAATATTTAGGATATAGATGAAACAGAACTTAGAAAAAATTTTATGGCTTTAAGTGCTTATATCAGAAAAAAATAAAAATTTACAATAAATGATCTAAGAATCACCATTAAAAAACTAGAAAAAGAAGATCAAAGTGAGCCCAAAGTATGTAGAAGGAAAAAATAATAAATATCAGAGCAGAATCAATGCAATAGAAAATAGAAAAATAATAGGAATATTAATAAAACCAAAAGTTGGTTCTTTGAAAAGATTAGTAAAATGGCTTGCCTCTAGCTAGACCAATTAAAAAAGAGACAAGACACTAATTAGTAATGTTAGGTTTAAAGAGGAAATACTTCAGGAAGCTGAGGCAGGAATATCATTTGAGCCCAGGAGTTCAAGACTAGGCTGGATAAGATGACAATACTACTAAAAAAAGAAAAAAAGGAAATACTACTGTTATGGATCTTAAAAACATAAAAAATGGTAAAAAAAAGGAATATGAATAACAACTTTAATGAATAAATTCAACAACTTAGATGAAATGAAAAAATTCTTTGTAAAACACAACTTTGTGAAAGTGATTCAAAGACAAAAGAAAAATCTGATCATTCATATACTATTTTAAAAGTTTGAATGCATACTTGATATTTTTTTCTTTTTTAATTCCAGTCTTCAGGGCTTTGGGTTGAATGCATACTTTGAAACCTTAGAATTACTAGACCATACGTAGAATTATTAGACCAGATTAATTCATTGGTGACTTCCAAAACAAATCCCCCGCCCAAAAGAAAATACCAATCTTCACAAACATTTTTTTCTCATGAAGACATTATATAAGAAAGCTGGAGAGATATACCAAGTTTATGGATAGAAATACTCAGTGTTGGTGTGACATCAATTCTCTTGAAATTAATCTGTCAATTTAATATAATGCCAATCAAAATAATAAAAGACATGTTTGTAGATGTTGACACGATGATTCTAAAATTTATAGGAAAAGGCAAAACTCCTTAAGTAGACAAAATTATATTGAAGAGGGAACAAAAAACTTACACTACTTGATTTTAAGACTTACTATACAGCACCGTATCTCAGTCTTGGCACTGACTTTTTTGGCCAGATAATTTTGTGTGGATGTGGGAGCTGTCTTTTGCATCAGTTGTACTTCTTTAACTCCAGATACATTACTTGCATCAAAGTTTACTTTGTCTTATACTGTATTAATGTAGGCACACCAGCTTTCTCTTGGTTAATACTTGCATGGCTTATATTTTTGCACTCTTCTTCTTTTATCATATCAACTTTCATATTTTTAAGTGTTTTCATTGTGAATAGAATATATCTGGGCCAATGTAATTACTGGTATGGTTGGATTAAATCCACCATGTCTTAGTCCATTCAGGCTGCTATGGCAAAATACTTTAGACTGGGTAATTTATATGTAATAGAAATTTACTTTTTACAGTTCTGGAGGCTGGGAAGTTCAAGATCAAGGTGCCAGTAGATTTGGTGTCTTGGGAAGGCTTGCAGTCTGTTTTATAGATGGCTCTTCTTGCTGTGTCCTCATGTGGTGGAAAGGCCAAACAGACTCCCTCATGCCTATTTATGAGGATACTAATTCCATTCATGTGAGTGGAGTCTGCATAACCTAATCTCCTCCTCAAGGCTCTACCTCTTAACATTATTGCTTTGGGGATTAAGTTTCAACATGAATTTTGGAGGAACAGAAACATTCAAGCCATAGCATACCATCTTGTTACTTGTTCTCAATATTTGTTCCTTTTATTTTTGTTCAAATTTTCTTCTTTTCTGCCTTTTTGTTGGATTCAACCAGTGTTTAAGAATTACTCCATTTTATCTCTTTTAGCTTTTTAGATATACCCTCTATATTAGTCTTTAAGTGGTCATGTTGCCGAGTATAGTCCTCCTTGACTTATTTCAACTATGTTATATCAGCAATTTTATAATTTTATGAGTAATTCAAATTACTTTCCACAGTTTAACTACATTTACCAATCTCCTGCCCTTCCTGCTATTACCATCATCTATTTCACTTCTATAATACATTTGTTACAAACTCTAGAAGATATTGATGTTGTTCCTGATTTAAACAGTAAATATTTTTGGTATTTACCCACATATTTACTTTCTCTGATACTCTTCAGTCCTTTTTACACTTCTATGCCTCCAGCTGGTATCAGTATATTTTATCATGAATATATCTTCTTTTAGTGTTTCTTTTTTTCTTCCCTCCTGCTTTTCCCTCCCCTCCTCCTTCTTCCCCCTCCTTCAGTCCTCCTCTTCCTTTCCCTCCTCCCATCTACCCTTTTCTCCCCTCCTTCTTCACACTACCTTCCCCCTCCCCCCCTTTTTCAGTATTTCTTGTACTTTGGGCATGATGACGATTATCTCAGCTTTTGTCTATAAACATTTATTTCGCCTTCACTTTTAATATTTTTCCTGAGTGTAATATTGTAAATTGTTAGTTATTTTTCTTTTAGCACTTTAAAGATATCATTCAATCATCTCTGCTTCCAATGTTTCCTTTGAAAAGTTATTTGTTAGCTTTATTTCTCCTCTTTTAATGTAATAGATCCTTTCCTTTGGCTGCCTTTGTAAGATTCTCTTCATTTTTATTTTTTAGCAGTTTGACTATAATGTGCCTAAAGTGTGGTTTTCTTCCCCCCTGCCCCAAGATTGGGTCTCATTCTGTTGCCTGAGGTAGACTACAGTGGCATCATCATAGCTCACTGCAACCTCAAACTCTGGGCTCAAGTGATCCTCCCACCTCAGCCTCCCAAGTAGCTAGGACTACAGGTGCATGCCACCATGCCTAGCTAATTTGGGGGGTTTTTTGTTTTTTGTCTTTCGTAGAGACAGGGTCTCACTATGTTGCTCAGACTGGTCTTGAACTCCTGGACCCAAGTGATCCTCCTGCCTTGGCCTCTCAAAGTGCTGGGATTACAGGCATGAGCAACTGCACCTAGCCTGATTTTCTTTACTTATCCTGCTTGAAGTTTCCTGAGATTCTGGAATCTGTGAGTTTATGTCTTTCATTACTTTAGAAAAATTTTTGGATGTTATAATTTCCAATATTGCTTCTATTCCATTCTCCTCCCTCTCCTTTCCCTCTGGGTCCCCAATCATACATATAATAAACTAAGTCCTTTTTGTTCAATTCTTTCTGTTTTTTTTTTCACCGTGTGATTCAATTTGGATATTTACCTTTACCTGTCTTCATGTTTAATAATCTTGTCTTCTACTTTACCAAGTCTACTATTTTACTCATCTAATAAGACATTAATTTTATATATGGTTTCTCAGTTCAAGCATGTCCATTTGCTTCTTTTTATAGAGTCCAATTCTTCATTCACATTCTTTTCATTTTTCATCCATTTTGTCCTATTTTACTCTATTAAAATACATTTATAACACATATTTTAATTTTTCATCTATTAATTACCGTATCTTGATCATCTGTGTGTGTGCTTCTATTTTCCTTATTTTTTTAATTTTTTCAGTAACATTTCTCTGCTTCTTTGCCTGTCTTAGAATTTTTTATTTTATGCCAGAAATTATATATAAAAGAAGCATAGAGACTGACATTGATATTAATTGTTCCCAGAGTTCTCTTTTTCCTGTTGCACAGAAAGGAAGTGGGCCTTATCACAGCAGTCCAAACAGGAATTGAGCTGAGTCCAGCCTGGGTTACAGCCTAAGTAGAATTTGATAACTCGTGGTTTCAAATATATTGAGGAGAATACCTGTGTCGTGTTTGGTATAGTCTCCTTTCTCTTCAAGATTCTGTCTCCTGATTGATTGAATTCCGCCGGCGCCGGAGCCTCTGCAGAGAGCGAGCTCGAGAGATGGAGATGGACAAACGGATTCATTTAGAGCTGCGGAACAGGACGCCCTCTGATGTGAAAGAACTCGTCCTGGACAACTGTCGGTCAAATGAAGGCAAAATCGAAGGCCTCACAGATGAATTTGAAGAACTGGAATTCTTAAGTACGATCAACGTAGGCCTCACCTCAGTCGCAAAGTGACCAAAGTTAAACAAACTTAAGACGCTTGAACTAAGCGATAACAGAATCTCAGGGGGCCTGGAAGTATTGGCAGAAAAGTGTCCGAACCTCACGCATCTAAATTTAAGTGGCAACAAAATTAAAGACCTCAGCACAATAGAGCCACTGAAAAAGTTAGAAAACCTCAAGAGCCTAGACCTTTTCAATTGCGAGGTAACCAACCTGAACGACAACCGAGAAAACGTGTTCAAGCTCCTCCCGCAACTCACATATCTCGACGGCTACGACAGGGACCACAAGGAGGCCCCTGACTCAGATGCTGAGGGCTACGTCGAGGGCCTGGATGACGAGGAGGAGGACGAGGATGAGGAAGAGTATGATGAAGATGCTCAGGTAGTGGAAGACGAGGAAGATGAGGATGAGGAGGAGGAAGGTGAAGAGGAGGACGTGAGTGGAGAGGAGGAGGAGGATGAAGAAGGTTATAATGACGGGGAAGTAGATGATGAGGAAGACAAAGAAGATCTTGGTGAAGAAGAAAGGGGTCAGAAGAGAAAATGAGAGCCAGAAGACGAGGGAGAAGATGATGACTAAGTGGAATAACCTATTTTGAAAAATTCCTATTGTGATTTGACTGTTTTTACCCACATCCCCTCCCCCTCCTCCAAATCCTGCCCCCCGAAACTTATTTTTTTCTGATTGTAACATTGCTGTGGGAACGAGAGGGGAAACGTGTACTGGGGGTTGCGGCGGGAGGGCGGGCGGGAGGGGGTGGAATAAAATACTATTTTTACTGCCACTCTTTATTTTTCCCCCTACTTTTTCTTTGTGTCTGGTTTTTGTCCCTGTAAATGCGATAGCTGAGTACACGCCAAGTGAGCATTTGTTCCTTACTCTCAGAGAGGATGGTTTGGAGTTCTACAGTTCCAGGTATTTCCCAGGTCTCTTGAGTTGGTTGGAAAGCCATGGCTGGCCTCGGTTTGGTCACTCAAAGCCCAGGAGGGGCTGAGTACCAGCCATACCTTTAACTCTTGCTCTGGTTCATGTGATTTCTGCTTTTCTTGGGCCTGCTAGAGGCATCCAACGCCCAGGTTTGTAAATAGCAACCTAGAGGCGTATTTTGGCACTGTTTGGGGACATTCCCCGTCTCTCATCCCTTTTCCCCCTTCATAGATGGTGGTGGGCTTCACTCTACAAAGAGGACTCTGATGTTACTCTTGAGAGCTTGTGAGCCAAAGAGCTGGAAACGGCAGGCTTATGAGTTAACAAGTAGAATGGATTTGGTAATTATAATTAAAAGAGAAGAAACAAGCCCTCAAGCTTAAACCTCTTTAAAAGAAAGAAAAAAATGTCCTATCTTGTTCTGTAAAATATTAGAATGCTTTGTTTTACAAAACTGACGAGATAATTCTTCCACATGTGCTTCTGTGCTTAGAACATTTTTATAAACCTAAGCGCTGGAGACATTGCTGCATGTCGGCTGGGTTTTTTTTTTCATATACCCGAGCACGGAAGAACTAACGCAAAATTGTATTTTCTTACCTAGTGGAAATCTGAAATGACTGCAAATTCCTAGTGAATGTACAGGTTTGCTTTCATGTCCCTCTTCTGGACTGCTTTAGAAGTGATGTGTTCTTCCTCACCCATGTTCCATCTGTATAAAAGAACATCGGCACCAGTTTTTCTCCTGCCCCTCAGAAGAGCCAAACTTTGAGTTTTACGTCTGTTTGTCATTGATAAATTTCAATAAATCTTTTTATACAATTAAAAAAAAAAGATTCTGTCTCCTATTATTGTGATATTGTGAGAGATTACACTACATTTTTCCTTTTGAGCCTCCTCCTAGTCTTCTACATAGCTCCAGAACTCAGTATATCTCCTATGAGGAAAACAGGCTATATGTTTGGGGCTCCTCTAGATTCCAGTCTGCCACTTTCTTCATGATACTTTTCCCAACCAATGTTTTTTGTCTTTTTTATGACACTTGCCCTATTCTGCATTTCTGCATTATATTATAGAGACTGTTGTCTCTCCCTAACACACACACACACACACACACACACCAATTGTACATTTCTTGATGGTAGAGTAATTAAAAATTTTCTTTCTATTCTCTACAAAACCTAATGCATAGAGTAGACTTCTAATATTATTCATAAACTGTAAATATCTGTGAACTTAAATGCCCCTGGACATAATAAGTCCTGAGGTAGTTTCTAACTTCACTGAACATAAGCTTCCAAAGGAGTTTATTTAAATTTTTGGTTTCCGTATATCACCCAGAGCCTGATTCCGTGGGTCTGGGTTTGTGTCCAGGATTCTACATTTCCGACAAGTACTTGAGGTTTTTCTGATGCAGGTGATCCTTAGCCTTACTTTGGAAAAACTCAATTATAATCCTTGGCCATGTGCCACAAACCATGCCTGAAGGTTAACCACTATCATTTCTTGAGCACATCCAATACTGAGTTATATAATAAGCACAATGGTTACAGTGAATGGAGATTAAAAATTTGAATGCTAACCTCTAGAAGTTTAAAGTCTAGTCAAAATTATAGGACCCATACATTAATAACCCTCAGACACACTTACAAAGCAACAATAAAATGAGTGCTAAATGGTAGAAAATAATGAGACGTGACCATTGGATTAAATTGGGAAGACTCCATTAAAGAGATGTGGGCCAAATATTGAAGTAGAGGAAGTCCCTGTAGTGGTAGCAGGAGTGAAGGAATTATTTCAAATTGAAGGAAGAGGTTGAACAAAGAGAATATAGTTGGTAGATATGTCCTTATGTTTTGGTTCAAGGAATAAGCAGATGTAGAAATTTCACGCTGCTATCTTGGAAGCTATTGTCTCTGCACTCAACATGTGTGTGTATTACCAATCTCCATTTCATGGACAGCGTGTCTTGGTCTTGCTAAAAACCAATATATTTACTCTGATTTCTGCAAATTCAGTCATTGTTATCAACTTCTGTCCACCCGCCTCACATTACGTTGCTAAGCAATTTTACTTCAAGCTTTGTTTATGTGTTCTCTATATCAATTTGTTTTGGGATGCCCCGCTTGCAGCTGCCCTAATTCTGTACGACATACAAACACTATTTAGTAATATTCATCTCATTTGTTCTCACACATGTCCTGGCCAGCTGACTTGTGGTGCTGTGAATTCAGCTGTGCAGTGTGGGTGTACTGGCTGTATTTCAGGACTTCAGTGTAGCTTTTTCTTAAGGCTGTAAAGATGTAGGACTTCAGGAGAGCTTTAATCTAGGACAGGACAATTCTAGGTCCACGGTACTGCCCTGACTCCACCTGTGCCATTCTGTGGTTTAGTGCACTTTTCTCTGCATTCCATACTCTGTTGGCCTGGATGTTGCCTCGTAACTTCAGCAACTCCTAGCTTTGCCTTATACCAATAATGCAACCAATAGGCAGTCCTCATGACTTCTTTGTAGAATAATCAGGAAAAAAAAATTGGACTTATACTATTGTTTCATTTTTATTCCTAATTATGTTGATTCATATGGTTTGAAAGCTGAATTCCATAAGCATAGCTAAAAGTTTGTCTATTTTTTCATTTGTTTATGGATTTTACATAAAACAATTTTTAAAATGTGAAAATAAGCATAATTGTAGGTGTTAATTATCATACATCTTAGTCACGCTAACCAAAACATGTTTACTAACACATTATGCAAATTAACAAATTTGTTTACACAATAATAATTATTCTGAAGTATTGAGGCATTTTTTAAAAGCATAGGGCCTGACGAAGTCTCAGAAGTCACGTGACATCTCTCCTGGCACATTCTATTCTTTGACAAAGGCCTCCCATGTTCAAGTGGAGGTGTCATAGGCTCCTCTTTATGGGAGAAGTGTCAAAAATGATTTAACACCTCCACAATGACTGACTGTTTGTGTCCAAAATCCAGAAAAGTCTTTTTGGTAGATTGCATTATTGGCCCAATTATTCACTTATCCCTGTAGTGACAAACTGTTAGTTTGCTTGGGCTGCCATAGCAAAATACCAAGAGAAATTTATTTTATCCCAGTTCTGGAGACTGAGGAGTCTAAGATCAAGGTTTCAGCAAATTTGGAAGGCCTGCTCCTGGCTTGCAGATAGCCAACTTCTCTCTTTACCCTCACGTGGTAGAGAAAGGAAGCTCTGCTATCTCTTCCTCTTCTTATAAGGGCACTAGCTTCATCATGGGGGCCTTTAGCCTCATGACCTCATCTTAACCTAATTACCTACAAAGGACCCACCTCTTAATACCATCACATTAAGGGTTAGGGCTTTAACATACGAATTTTAAGGGAACACAAACATTCAGTTCGTAACACAAACTTTCCATGTGACTTTACAGTCTCTTCTACTCATTCATAGTAGGAGTAATGTTTTTCCTGCCCTTGACTTTTGCCATGGATGTGTGGACTTGCTTTGGCCAATGATCTATTAGCAGAAGTAACAGTAGAATTTGAAATGCTTATGTGTCACGGGGCTGCCCTCATGAGTCTTTGCCATTGCCTTTCGGGAACATTCTCCAGCTTTACTTCAGGTCTTGGAAGATGAGAGAGGTGTAGAGCAAATCCACTCCAGCTACCACAACCTGAAAAAGAAGCACCTGAACAAGCCTACAGAATTATAGGGAGAAGCAGACCTGCCCAGCCAAGCTCCTCCCAGGCCAGCTAAATCCCAGCAAATCTACAGCTAAATAATTATTTTAAGCCACTTAGTTTTGGGGTGGTTTGTTATGTAGCAACAGTCAACCAAAACTGCTTTATTTTATTCCAAGTATCTCTTGCGTTCCACAGTGGAATTACAAAATATTTCTTATGTATGTTCTCTACATTTTCTCTCAAGTGTATTCTCAAGTGTTTTTGCTTTTATGTTGCTGCTTTGAATGAGTGTTGTTACATTACATTTTTAAATTGTAGATACCAAAGTAATTAAGATCTGAATATTAATTTTGCATCCAACTACCTGACTTGTCTTATTTTTCCTAATACTGTTTCAATATTAATTATAAAAAATTGGTTTTATTTTGTATAGATATTAAATGAGTTGATTAAAATAATCAAAATAAATAGCTTTAAATAATCTACGTTTCACCGTCTTCAAAGTCTAACACCACAGTTTTCATTCACAATATCTTTACCTGTGAATTTATTATTTTAAGTCATCTTTTATGTAACTGTATCATATCCTCAAAAGATTATTTTAATCAACTCTATATAGACATAATTTACACACAACAAAATATGCACATTTTAAATGTACAGTTTAATGAGCTTTGACAAATGTATACAACTGCACAACCACCACGATAATCAAGATTCAAAATGTTCCAATTACTCTAAAAGGATCCCTTGAGCCCCTTTGAAGTCAAACTCTATCCTGAACCCCAGACTACCCATTGGTCTCCTTTATGTCACTGTAGATTAAGTCTGTCTCTTCTAGAATTTGGTAAAATTGGAATCATACAGTATTTCCTCCATTGTATTTGGCTTCTTTGGCTTAACATAATATTTTTAAAATTCATCCATGTAGTATGTATCGTTATGATTATTTTTTTTTATTATTTTATTTTTTTTTTGAGACAGAGTCTGGCTCTATTGCCATGGCTAGAGTGCCGTGGCATCAGCCTAGCTCACAGCAATCTCAAACTCCTGGGCTCAAGCGATCCTCCTGCCTGCCTCAGCCTCCCAAGTAGCTGGGACTACAGGCATGTGCCACCATGCCTGGCTAATTTTTTCTATATATATATTTTTTTAGTTGTCCAGATGATTTCTTTCTACTTTTTAGTAGAGACAGGATCTCGCTCTTACTCAGGCTGTTCTTGAACTCTTGACGTCGAGCGATCCACCCGCCTCGGCCTCCCAGAGTGCTAGGATTACAGGCGTGAGCCCCTGAGCCCAGTCATGATTATTATTTTTTAAATTGCTGAGTAGTATTGCAGTGTATGAATGTATCATAATTTACTCATTCATCAATAAATAGACATTTGGGATGTTTCCAGATTTGGGCTAGTATGATAATTATTCATAATCTTACTCAAGTCTTCTTCTTGTACAATTTTTTTTATTGGAGATATCATTTCTCTTAAATA